TTTTTGAGGCCAATTTGTCATGTACATATAAGCTCAGGATTGCTATGTCTCTGATAAAATTAGGTCTCTAGTCATTATATTATGGACATCTTTAACACTAATAATGCAAATGTATGTATTTGAATCTGTATAGCTATTTTGGGTTTCTATTGGCTTGCGTTAACTGGGTATGTCTTTTCTTATTTCTTTACATCCAGGGTATCTGTTGCTTCCAAGATATCTGTTGCATAATGTTTAGACTATGCTTCTTGCAAAAATTTAGAAATCTAAACTGATAATCTCTTTATGTGATGAGTTATAGCCATTTATATATATTGTGATTAGAAAGAATATAAAGAACTTCTGTTTTGCTTTTTCCCTATTTACCATGCTTTTTCATTATTACTTTCTTCTCCTTTCCTGCTTTTTATTGGCTTGATCAAATCTGTTTTATTTTTCCTTTTACTTTATGCTTTCAGCATTTATATATTTTATTTCACTCTTTCAATTTATACTCAAAATTTTAATATATGCATAACTGACTTAAAATCTGCCTCAGTTAATTAATAACTCTATTACATTCCCCACACAATAAAGATGTTAAAATGCTGAACTATCTTTATACTCTCCTGTTTTCTATGTAATTTTTTCACCATTTTTAAATTCCCTAAAATTACTTATCATCATCATGTTATTGTTGATTAAATTGACCCATGTTAATCAGTTTCTTGTCTCATCATTAAGTAATAGCTATATATATATGTATGTGTGTGTATATATATATATATATATATATACACACACACATACATATATATATAGGGAGCTCTGGTAGCATAGTGGCTAAGACACTTGCCTGCTAACCAGACGGCTGGCAGTTCAAACCCACCAGCCACTCCTCGGAAGGAAGGTTGGGCATTCCTACTTCCATAGTGATACTGCCTCGGAAACCCAAGGAGGGGTCGCTATGAGTCGGGGCCGACTCGATGGCACATAACAACAACAAAAAAAAAATGAAATAGAAGGCAAAGATAAAAGAAAGAGAATCTTGCTCCTTCCTCTTGGTTTTATTTTTTTCTTATTGAAATATTTCTTTTAATGAAAATCTGTGAGTGGAAACTCTTGGCATTTGTCTGAAAATATCTTTATTTCCTACTTACTCTTGAATGGTAGTTAAATGGGTTTAGAAGTTAGTTTAGAGTTACTTTCTTTGAATAGTTTGATGAAACTGTTTCATAATCTACTAGTCTCTGTGTTGATAAAAAGTTGCTTTGAACATAATTGCTGTCTTTTTGTAGGTATCCTGTTTTCTAGGGTTTTGCCTGTCTTTTGGTACACTGCATTTTCACTAAAATCTCCCTAAGTACAGATTAGGAGCTCTGGTGGTTTAGTGCCTAAGGCATTTGATTGCTAACTAGAAGACTGGCAGTTCAAACCTACCAGCCACTCCTCGGAAGGAAGATTGGGTAAACTAGTAGTGATACTGCCTCGGAAACCCAAGGAGGGGTTGCTATGAGTCGGATCCGACTCTACAGCAGTGGGTTTTCTTTTTAAATATAGATTAATTTTGATTTCTCTTGCTTGAAACTCATTTAGCTTTCCATAGTGTGGCTGTTTCATGGCTTTCACTAATTAAACAAAACTCTCAACCACGTCTTTGAATCTTACTTGCATATATGCCATAAACTCCATCACCTCTGTCCTACTCAGCACCATCATTCTTTTGTTTATCACTCTTCTGCATCTCCAGTCTTCTCTACCTATTCTGTCAATCCCCTCAACAAGTCAACATGCCCTAATATTTCTAATCTTTTAAAAAAAAAAAAAAATCCTCCCTTGACCCCATGTCTCCCTCCAGCTATCCTCTTGCTCTGCTGGACAGCATAGTCAAACTTTTTAACCAGATTGCCCACACACTTCTCTGCTTCCTTACTTCCTGTTTACTCTTCATTGCACTTTAATCTGACTTCTTCTCTCACTAATCCAAAGAGGCTGCTCTTGCCAAGGTTTCTAATGACTTCCATGTGCCTGAGTCAGTGCTTATTCCTCATCTAACTAGTCGTCTTAGCGGCATTCAACATAGTTGATCTTTCCTTTCCTAAAACACTTTCACCTCTTAGCTTCTGAAACACTTTATTCCCTTGATTTTCTCTAAATACTGGAGCACCGAGGGCTTGGAGTTGAGCTCTTTTCTTTATTTTCTACTTTCTCTCCCAAAGAGTTTTTATCCATTCAAACAACTGTTAATATCATAATTGTCCAGAATGGCCAGATTTATACTTCTAGCCATGACCCTTCCTCTGACCTACCAAATTATGTATAAATTTCTGTTTGACATTAACACTTAGATATCTCCACTGCTGTCAAGTCAGAACCAACTCATAGTTAGCAACATTTAACCTTACCTTTGCCACACCAAGTTCTTGAATCTCTTCCCAGAAGTGTCTTCTCTATCTCAGTAAATGGCACTATCATCTACTCAGTTTTTTTTTTTTTTTTCTGACTATTTTATAGTGGTTTGGGTGACAGTTTATATACAGATCAAATTAGTTTCCATTCAACAATTTATACACATTTTGTTTTGTGACATTAGTTTTAATCCCCTCCATGTAACAGAACTCTTCCCACTTCTTCCTTGGCTTTCCCATTTCTATTCACCCATCTTTCCTGCCCCTTCCTACCTTCTGAACTCTGTTTTGGGACAAATGCTTCCCTTTTGGTCTCATGTGGTTGATTCTTCTGAGGAACACTTTCCTCACAGGTGTTACTGTTCACTTTATAGACCTGTCTATTGTTCGGCTGAAAGGTGATCTCTGAAAGTGGTTTAAGGTCCAGGTTTGAAGGATATTTAATGGCCATAAGCTTGAGGGTTGCAAAAGTCTGGTATTTGCTATAAATTTGAATTTTGTTCTACATTTTCTCCCACTCTGTCCAAGATCTTATATTGTTATCCTGATCAGAGTGACCAGTAGCAGTAACTAGGCACCATCTAATTCTTGTCTCAGGCTAGTAGAGGCTGTGGTTTGTGTGGTCCGTTAGTCTTTAAGGCTGATTATTTCCTTGAGTCTTTGAATTTCTTAGGAAAACCAATAGTTGTATCTTAGATGGACACTTGCAAGCTTCTAAGACCTTAGTTGCTACTCACCAAAATAGAATATAGAATATGATCTTTATAGACTATGTCATGACAATTGACGTAGATGTCACTCTAGAGTATATTCTTAAGCCCTCAAGCCCACTGATGCATTCTCTCAAGGTATTTGATTATGACTAAGAAGTCTGAATAACTTTGCCCCCTGTATACTCTACTATTTAAAAAACTCACTGCTGTTGAGTCAGATCTGACTCATAGCGACCCCTCCTTGGGTTTCTGAGGCAGTATCACTGTGAAGTAGATTGCCCAATCTTTCTTCCGAGGAGTGGCTGGTGGGTTTGAACCACCAGCATTCTGGTTAGCAGTCAAATGCCTTAGACACTATGCCACCAGAGCTCCTATACTCTACTATATACCTGGATATTTTTGCAGCACATGCAAATACATATGTAGAAATATCATCTCTGCCAAACCTATATATAGGAGCTCTGGTGGTATATATAAACAGATTTGATGTGGGTCTTAAAGAAGTGAGGAATCAAGAATGACTCCTAGGTTCTAGCATTAAAAACTGGGTTGATGGGATGGCATATGGGAGTACACTCAAGCACATATATAGGTTTGTTGTTGTTGTTGTTACATGCTGTTGACTCGGACCCGAATCCTAGCAACCCCTCCTTGGGTTTCCAAGGCAGTATCACTACAAAATAGACTGCCCAACCTTCCTTCCGAGGAGTGGCTGGTGGGTTTGAACCACCAGCTTTCTGGTTAGCAGTCAAGTGCCTTAGGCACTATGCTACCAGAACTCCTTTTGCTTCTATAGCCCTATTGGAGTGGTTTTATTTTATTATATTGAATTGATCTTACAAATTCCACGGTATATTAACAGTTGACTTTGCTGCCACAGTTAGTCAGCAGGCCTTTCAGAGAATTTCTAGTAAGCTGCTAAGAAATCTATGATTGTTGAATTTTCATAATGTTTAACTTTTAATAAGACATTTTACTGAAGCAGGTTCCAGTACCAAGTTTAAGCTAAGTGGGCCTCTACATAAATTTTGACATTTTGGCTATGTGAAGGGAGCTCTGGTGGCATAGCACCTAAGGCATTTGACTGCTAACCAGAAGGCTGGTGGTTCAAACCCACCAGCCACTCCTCGGATATGGATGCTGTCTCAGTGGAAGGCAATTCTAAAGGCCCTCTTTGAAGCCTACATTTTCAGGCAACATCCTCCCTCTTTTTATGCCCCTTTTGGGCTTCAAGCCCTGGAGTCTTCTAATTATCCCATAATTATGTCTTATTTATACCTGCATGAAAATTCCACAGATAGGGCTACCTCAGTGAAACCCACCCAAAAAACTCATTGCCATTGAGTGAGATATTCATAGCGACCATATAGGACAGGCAGAACTTCCCCATAGAGTTTCTAAGGGTGTAAACCTTTACAGAAGCAGAATGCCACATCATTCTCCTGCCAAGTAGCTGGTGGATTTGAACAACCAACCTTTCAGTTAGCAGCTGAATATGTAACCACTGCACTAACAGGACTCCTCCTCAGTCAAAAGGACACATTAATTGAATTCTGCCTTCCCAAACTTGCTGAGCTAAATGCAGGTTGTAGCAAATGGCTCCAACTATCATGGGTCTGTCCACACAATGCCTTGTTTTAGGTGGTGAGAGTCTTGTTCTGAGCTGGTGGCATGGTCCTATAATCTTGCTGTCTCTCCACATTCCTTTTTGACTCTGGCCTGAGGCATGGTGGATCCATGGAGGAGTTTGAAAGATCAGAGCACAGCTTCGTTTTCTCCAGGTTGTTTGCAGCTCTGTGAGGGATGCTCACTCACTCTGCTGCCTTTGTTTCTTCATCTGTTTGCTTCATGTCCCATGACTCTGAATCTCAGTCATTTTATTTTTCTTTTTGGATCACAGGTCCACACGTTCCGAGGCCCACACTGGTGTGAATACTGTGCCAATTTCATGTGGGGACTCATTGCCCAAGGAGTCCAGTGCTCAGGTAGACCAGAATTTTCTTTATCCCTTTCTAATTACATAAGATGTCACCATGTTGAGCTGGAAAGTATCTCTCCTAAGCTGGGAAATAGGCCCAGATTTGTTCAAAAGTCTAGCTTTCTGCAAGGTTCAAGGCAGCCCTGAGCTTAGTGGGGAGATTGATCTATGTATTTGTAAGAATGAGAAAGAGTACTTTTGTTTATGCAAGGAAAGAAAAGGAAAAGAAAAAAATAAGTAAAACACAAGCAAGTAGACTTCCTTAGACATCTGCCTGCCTCCCAGTACAGGCTGTGGTTTTTTGTGGTTATTGTTAGCCACCACCAAGTCAGCGCCCAACTCATAACCCGTGCACAACAGAAGGAAATGTCACCCACTCCTGCATCATCCCATGATTACACAGACCGGATTATTGTGATCCATAAGGTTTTCATTGGCTGATTTTTCAGAAACAGATCATCTTAATCTGGATGCTCCATTGAAACCTGTTCAGCATCGTAGCAAACACACAAGCCTCCACAGACAGAAGGATGGTGGCTTACACATGAGTTGCATTTGGGTGGTAATTGAGCCTGACTCTCTTATATGGAAGGCAAGAATTCTACCACTCTCAACAACCAGTACTTCTCCCCCAAATAGGTTGTTGTTGTTGTTGTTAAGTGCCATCGAGTCAGACCTGACTCATAGCGACCCCTCCTTGGGTTTCCAAGGTGGTATCACTGCAGAAGTAGATTGCCCAACCTTCCTTCTGAGGAGTGGCTGGTGGGTTTGAACCGCCAGCCTTCTGGTTAGCAGTCAAGGGCCTTAAGCACTATGCTACCAGAGGTCCCCCAAATTAGGTAGTAGTTATTAAAAGAAGAAAAAGCATGTGCGGTGGAATTGCATAGAGAGAAAAGCCATACTTCTTTTCTGTCCTCACCTTGCTAATAAAGTCAGGATATAGAAATGGTAATATATACCAGGCACTGGGCCATTATTCTTAGCTGCTGTCAAGTCAGTCCCCAACTCATGGTGACCCCATGTGTTACAGAGTAGAACTGCTCCATTGGGTTTTCTTGGCTGTAATCTATGTAGAAGCAGTTCACCAGGCCTTTCTTTCACAGTGCTCCAAGGGGGTTCAAATTGCCAACCTTTAGCTTAGTAACCGATTATACTGAGAGGCTCCTTAGGTGCTGGGCTGAGTGCTTTATAGTTATCATGCAATTTAACCTTATCAACAGGCTTTGGGGGAGGTGCCATTACTCTCCCCATTATAACAGAGCAAACTGAAGCTTACATGTAATTTTTAATAAGTAAGTAGGAGAACATTGTTCAAGGCAGTCCAACAACAGAGCTCACAGTCAGTTTTTTTCTGCCATCAGATTAGCACTGAAACCAAATCTTGATTTGATAGCACATATTTTCAAAGCACTTTGAAACTTAGGTGTTTTTCCAGCAAGAGTTGAAGGGACACACCCATTGCAAGCAGTATGCAACATATCTTATTAAGATATATCTAACCAAATAGTAAAGAGTTGCCAAATTAATGTGTATTTAGGCTTCCTAATTCATCTTGCCACGCTTTTTCTGGCAAGCAGTTGTGGCCAAGGAGCAAGAACAGCCTACTGTGATAATTGAATGGATTTCCACCGACACCATGACTAATTTCCTCCTTGCTGGTGGGTATAATTTTGAAAAGGGCAAAATTCTTATGAAGGATTTAAAATAAAAGAAGCTAATAATACTTCAATAAGATGATCTACTTCATATACCACCCAGTTTGGTTCATAAGACCCATAGCTCCTTAAATCTTCCTCTCTGGCTAGAAAGGGATTCCTTAGCTTTTACCATATAAATAAGGAGCCCTGGTAATGCAGTGGTTAAGTGTTTAGCTGCTACCAGGTTGGAGGTTTGAAACCACTCAGCAGCTCTATGGGAGAAAGACCTGGCAATCTGAGCCTATAAGGATTACAGCCTAGGAAAGCCAATGGGGCAGGTCTTCTCTGTCACATGGGGTTGCTATGAGTCAGAATTGACTCAACAGCACACGACAACAATAACAACCATACAAACACAACAATCACTGATGCCCAGCTAGATACTGGGATGCTCCAAGTAGTTCTTATGTATGTTAGATAACACTTGGACTTCACTTACAGTTCCTCCACCCCACCACAAGTCCAAAAATGTTGCAGATACCCTGATGAAGACAAAGGACTAACTCACCAGGTTTTACAAAGTATCTCTTGGCTCAAACCCTGAGCAAAATGGTAGAATATCACAATTACTCAGTGGACATTAATTTGGCCAGTCTAGATTATATCTAGCAAAAATATCCCTAAGTGTTGTAATTTCAGCAGAATTTTGGTCCAAGGTCAATATTATCAGAACAAAATCCCAAGCTTCTCATTAGCTGTGAATGCCAACTTTCTCTAGTAGTGAAGGGTTTTCTTTGTGTTTGTTTTTCTTTTTTTAGATAAAACACGTTCTATAGCTACACTGTAAGTAGTCTCCAAAGGCACTGTTTATCCTTGTATTTCCTAAGAGTAGTAGGAAAGCTGAATATTGATCATTAAAGGCTAGAAGGATCCATCATTGCCCCTTGACTCTTCATATTTTACATTTTTAAAAATATATATCTTTAAATCAACTAGATTTTATTTGTAGCATATGGAACTGTGTTCATTTTCAAAATCAGAATCTTTTTGTATTTATTATAAATACCTTCATTTTAATAAAATATCAATATTTGACTCTACACAGATAAACAGCCTAGTGCCCATCTTAAAATGAAGTTTGTATGAATATAGTGAAAATTTATTAATGAAATAGCTTAAGAATAGCTGGCCAAGTATCCTTATATTTTCTATCCCTGTATTTGCTGTTTAATTTTTTTACCTTAATACTTAAATACTGTTGTTGTTAGGTGGCATTGAGTCCATTTTGACTCATTGTGATCCCATGTGGTAGTGTAGAACTGCCCCATAGGGTTTTCTAGGCTGTAAACATTACGGGAGCAGATTGCTGGGTCTTTCCTCCATGAAGCTGCTGGGTGAGTTTGAACCATCAGCCTTTCAGTTAGCAGCCAAGCACTTAAACACTGTGCCACAAGGGCTCCTTTAATACTTACATAGTGCTTACCCTATTTCAGATACATTCCTGAGCACTTTACATATATTGACTAACTTGATCCTTATAACAACCTTAAGAGGTAAGTGCTATTACTATCTTCCCCTTTGTGAAAGAGAAATCAAACAAGAAAATCAGTGAATTATATTTACTCAATTCCCCAAAATCTATTTAGACATTCACTAAATAGATCTATCCAAATAATAGTGAAATTTACTTGAGCTTTATTAAATTTCTTATGTTGCTAAAACTAACATGCATCAGCATTGTTTTTTTTCTTCAGAGGGAGGGTAGGCAGAGAGAATTCAGTCAGTAAACATTACATGAAAATCACTTAGAAATTACCACTGATGATTTTACAAAGATTCGGATCCTCAGAAATCCTGAGTGTGATTAAGTGCTTTTTGGCAAAGCAGCTGATGCCAATATTCATTATCATATGTGTGTTTATGTATATAATGTGCATATATAATATTATTATTCATGCCTAGAAAAATAATATTAGAAGGCACTTTGAGTAAGTAGCACGTTAACTTTGAACAACATCAGCATTAAATTTTTATTTCCCAGAACGCAGACCATGCCTTGTTATTGTCAGAGGAATTCCGTCAGTGGATACCAACTGCTAACAAGGCTTTTAATGTGCTCATTGAACTTAAAATCACCTTTTCAGCTTTGGATCTTGATAATGTGCTTTATGAATAATTACTCTAATCATCATATTACCTGGCATTGTTATAAATTGTAAACTCTCAGGTACTCTCACTGGTGTCCAGTTAGGCATTATTTCCATCTCATAGGTGTCAAAATAAGGCAGGTGGAAAAGAAAATTGTCTACCTGGAACTGCCCAACGAGCAGAAGGGATTGGAAACTATGGGATAACTCTCCAGGAAATGACAAGAGGATGCCAGTGGTCTTGGGCTCCTCAAATCAAAGATTAACATTTCCTACAGAGAGAGTGGGGCATTGGTGGTTCACTGATGGAACTCTCACCTTCCATGTGGCAGACCCAGGCTCGACTCCTGACCATTGAGCTTCATGCACAGCCACCACCTGTCTGTCAGTACAGACTTGCATGTTGTTATGATGCAGAGCTTTCAAAGTAAGATGGTCTAAGAAGGAAGTCCTGGTAATCTACTTCTGAAAATTAGCCAGTGAAAACTCAGTAGATTCCAATGATCTGATGCACAGCCAATCATGAGGAGTGTACAGGACCCAGCCCATTTTGTTCCCTTGTGCATGACTTGAGGGCTGACTCAATGACAGCTACCAATGACAGAGAGAGTAACCATGCCTTCTATAAAAGGAGCATCAAGAATTGAATGGAAACAACCTGCAAAGGTCCCAGGTGCCTTTTATGAATCATAACTAGCTCTGGGAATTCAAACCCAAAAGCCCACTATGGACCCAAAGCATTCCAGCCCCCAAAGGGGAAAAATATACAGCCAACCTAGCTAATTACCTGAACTATCTCAGTGAACTGTTCCATTCTATAATATAGCTACAGGGATGGCTTGATGACAAAAACTGAATTATAACAGAGTGTCATGAATAAAGATGAATTTCATATTCACCTTGTGGAATGTGTCACCTCCACATGGAATGTTCCAGAGACCTGCATCAAAATCTTTTTCTTTTTCTTTTTAGTAACATATCATTTGTGTTGGTCTTTGACAAAAGGGCTGAGCAAGGCTAACGTGGCTTCTTTGTTTACAGACTGTGGATTAAATGTACACAAGCAGTGTTCCAAGCATGTTCCCAATGACTGCCAACCAGATCTTAAGAGGATCAAGAAAGTGTATTGCTGTGACCTGACAACACTCGTGAAGGCTCACAACACTCAGAGGCCCATGGTGGTAGATATATGCATTCGGGAAATTGAAGCAAGAGGTTTGGAAAATATTCTTTACTATAGTGATTTTTTTTTGTACTGTTTATTTTTACTGTTGTCAAGGAAATGTTCTTATAATTGTTAAATTGATTCTCCACTGTTGTTAGGAAAATGGCCTACACATTTACGCACATGCAAACTAAATCCAACCAATTAGATCCATTTCCATTTCCTATCCAACCAATTATATCCATTTCCTTTTCCTATATAAGCTATGCATATACACATTCAACAGTTGTTTACTGAGCATTCATTATGTGCTGTTGTTGTTGTTGTTATGTGCCGTTGAGTCAGCCCCGACTCATAGCGACCCCCCCTTGGGTTTCTGAGGCAGTATCATTACGGAAGTAGATTGCCCCATCTTCCTTCCGAGGAGTGGTATTGATAATATAAGTCACAATCCCCACCTTCAAAATTCTTACTGCTGTGTGAGAACTCAGATAATTTTGTAGGTGTACGTATTCAAAACACCATGGAGAGATTTTAATCTCAATTGAGGACAATTCAGAAATGGTTTATGGCAGAGGTGAGGTTTGAATTGAATCTTAAAAAGTGCTCCTTTAAATAAAGAAAGAAATTATTGATCAGAACAAAAGAAATTATTGATCAGAACATGTTTCCTGTCATATAAAAATTTACTCCTAATATCAATTCTGTTTATCTCAAAAGAGAATTAAAATAGTTCATCTATGCAATGAAAAATCAAGAAGGAAAGGAAAATAGAAACATGTCAAAAGGTTCCTTATGTTATGCTTGAGTCATCTCTTTAATTGTGCTACTATTTGGTAACTATTCAGTGTCATGGGAGCTCTGGTAGCATAGTGGCTAAGACACTTGCCTGCTAACCAGACGGCTGGCGGTTCAAACCCACCAGCCACTCCTCGGAAGGAAGATTGGGCAATCCTACTTTCATAGTGATACTGCCTCGGAAACCCAAGGAGGGGTCGCTATGAGTCCGGTTTGACTCGACGGCACATAACAACAACAACAACAACATTCAGTGTCATATTGAATGATACGGTGGACCTGATCTGGTTAGGGAGAACTTGGATTGCTGGATGTGACTTGGATAATTGGGCCACGTATAAAGCCTTTGGAAGGCTTTAACCATTTGTGCCATATATGTACTCTGCTATACTTTATACCCATTATTATGTCCAAATTAGACTAATACACTCTATGGATTTTTAGTCATTGGCCAACCATCCTTTTCTTTCTGTTGTTGTTGTTATGTGCCATCAAGTCAGACCTGACTCATAGCAACTCCTCCTTGGGTTTCGAGGCAGTATCACAACGGAAGTAGATTGCCCAACCTTCCTTCCGAGGAGTGGCTGGTGGGTTTGAACCCCCAGCCTTCTAATTAGTAGTGCCTTAGGCACTTTGCTACCAGAGCTCCTCTTTCTAGAACAAAACAAAAGAAGACATTATATCTTGTTATTCCAAGCCTGTTACAGGTAGGAAATTATTCTCTGTCCCATGAAGAATGAGATCTATAGTTATTCTATTCCCCTAGGATTGGCTCCTTTAATCTCAAAGCCTTTTGATTACTTTGGCTGTCAGAGTAATTGGTGCTTTAGGATCTGCTGCCAGTATTGACACAAAGGTACCAGATTAATACAGGGACATCCCAAAGAGAAGAGGGGTACCTTGACCCTGTATGCATGACTAGGACAAGTAACCCTAGGTGCTGCTGTTTAGAAGATTTTGCAATTTGCGGTCAGATCAGTAACCTCTCTAGAATCTGCAATCAGGGCTAAGGACAGTGAATTGTTATATGTCAAAAAGGAGCTCTGGTGGCATAGTGCCTAAAGGCATTTGACTGCTGAAGGCTGGCAGTTCAAACCCACAAGCCACTCCTCGGAAGGAAGATGGAGCAATCTACTTCCATAGTGATACCGCCTCAGAAACCCAAGGAGGGGTCACTATGGAATCTGACTTGACAGCAGTGAGTTTCAGGAGCTCTGGTAGCGTAGTGCTGAAGGCACTTGACAGCTAACCAGAAGGTTGGTGTTTCAAGCCCACCAGCCACTCTGCAAAAGGAAAGACAGGGCAGTCTACTTCCATAAAGATTTACCACCTTGGAAACCCAATGGGGGTTGCTGTGAGTCAGAATCAACTCAATGGCAGTAGGTTTCATTTTGGTTTGGACAAATAAATAAACTCTAGGAACAGAAACTAAGCCTCTTTCTTAGCCTAAATATATAGTGATAAAGTTAGATTTTATTTTCCTGAGTTATGCATTGTTTATATAATCAGTCATAGGAAGTTATAACAAGTCATTACCAAGTAGTTAAACATTTAACATATTATTTATGACAAAAAGAGGTAAAATTTTGATTGTTCCAATAAAATCAGGATAACATGTGTCACACACATGCATGTGTGTACCTAGCAGAACACTACTTACAATAGAGCACATGGGTTAAGATGATGTTGAAGAAAAGCTGGGGAGCTGCTCAGTACAGTGTGTACCTGGCCATCCGACAGGCAACGGGAGAGAGAACTAAGGTTGATGAGATCCTGAAGCATTGGTCAGCTTTGCAACGATAAGCAGGAATAAGACCACATCTCCATTGGCTCCCCACAAGCCAATAACAATAGGCTTTCACTGGAAGTGGGAGGGGCACAGTCCAAATTCTGACATGGCATGTATAATCTATAAGAGCACTGATAATATTTTCTCATTTCCTGATAGCATACTGTGTACATGAGTCTTTTTAGATGTTTTGGAGCTAATGCTAAAGAATCAATCTCTCCATTTACTAGGATTAAAGTCAGAAGGCCTTTACAGAGTCTCTGGGTTCACTGAACACATCGAAGATGTCAAAATGGCATTTGACAGAGGTAGGCTCATTCTTCTTTAATGCCACCCGACTTTAGTACCCTGTCTTTTGGCATCAGATTTTATTCATATTGGGAATTGGGTTTCACAGCGACTGACAGCTGTTATTCAGGAAGCTGAGGAACAGCAGTTTAGAAATTTCATAATTGTACTTCTCTGGGGAAACTGAGTTCTGGTTGCACCATGGTTAAGGCAATTGGCTGCTAACCAAAAGGTCAGCAGTTCAAACCCACCAGCTGCTCTATGGGAGAAAGATGAGGCAGTCTATTTCTATACAATTTACAGCCTTAGAAACCCTATGGTACAGTTCTATTCTGTCTTATAGGGTCACTATGAGTTGGAATCAACTCAATGGCTGTGGATTTGGTTTTAGTTTGGGGAACTGAGTCACCTTAAAAGCTCAATTCCCTCATTGGAGAGTGAATTTAGAAGATTACTTGAATGAACAATCAGCAGTTGGTGCCATTTAAGATTCTTGACTTAGTTGCCTAACATTCATGGCCAATACACATGGCACCAAAGTACCCCTCTGCGTTCCCCATCTCAGGTTCCTATTGATTCTTCTTCTTTTCCCACAGTCCTTTTCCCAAAGCTCCAAAGTAGGAAAAGGAGTATCCCCAGAAGTAGGAGAAGCCAGTAGACATTTAACAGAGAACTCCTTTTGTTCTTTATGACTGTGCCAGATTTTCCCTAGGCCATGTTGTCTCTCAGTCAGATATTATAAGCCCACCTGGGGAACCTGTTAAAAATGCACATTATCAGGGCCCACCCTGGAGACCATTCAGTAGGCCTGGATGAGCCTTGGAAGCTGTATTTCTAATGAATAATCTAAATAATTCTGATGTAGCCAGCCGGTCAAGGGTTGCAACCCCAAGCCTCCTGGATAAAGCCTCTACTTTGTAGCAGTTTGCAAGGTCTTCGAGGATCTGGCCTCCCTAACAGCTCAGGTTCATCTCAATTTTTCCCCTGCCCCCCATAGTACTTTATACTCCAGCAATACTGATTATACCTTACCTGTTTTCACCTGGGCTCATTGTTGTCTTGCCATCTGAAATGTGTTCACATTGCTGCTTCCTATACATCTACTAATCAGGTGTCAGTTCAAGTCTCTCCTCTTTCATGAAGCCTTCCTGACCTCCCTCAGCTGACCTAAGAGCTTCTTTTCCCTTTTCCATCCCCCCATCCCACCTCTCAGCTTTTCACGTACATATAGACTAACAGAGAGCTCTGCTGGTGTAGTGGTTAGCATTCAACTGCTAACCAAAAGGTCAGTGGTTTGAACTCACCAGCCACTTCGTGGGAGAAAGATGAGGCAGTCTGTTTCCATAAAGATTATAGCCTTGGAAACCTTATGGAACAATTCTACTCTCTCCTAAAGGGTCGCTATGACTCAACGGCAGTCAATTCAGGTTTTAGAGTACCAGTCTTCCCATTTCTTTGTAATTGTCTAGTTGCCTGCTTGACTCCCAATCTGATGAGCAGCTATTTGAAGGAATATCCCTTTCTTTGATTAACCAGGGCTTAACAGAGTTTAAGACATAGTGGATTCTCAATAAACATTAAATATGTAAATAAACATTTAAATTAATAAATATACTTTTAGTGTTTTCGGTATATCAGCAATGTTTTTATCCTCATCTAAATTTGCAGAGGTATTTATTCTTTCAATTCTGCGTATAAAAGATGATACTAATATTCCCTACATGATTGAAACTTTAATCCAAAAAAAAAAGCAGTAAATTATAATCTGTGGCAGTTGAATTGGACTAATACTTACTAATGGTTAAAAAAAAAAACACATAAAATAGGTCTTGAAAAGTGATGGTAAAAAAGTGATTAGAAATATAACCGCTTATACATGAGTGGTGATTCAGTGGTAGAGTTCTCCCTTTCTTGTTGGAAACCCAGGTTCAATTCCCAGCCAGTGCACCTCAAGTGCAGCTACTACACATCTGTCACTAGAGGCTTCTATGTGTATGATGCTGAACAGGTTTCAGTGAAGCTTCCCACTAAAGTGGAAATAGGAAGAAAGGCCTGGTGATCTGCTTCTGAGAAATCACTTGATGAAAATCCTATGGATCATAGTGGTCCGATTTGCAACCAATCATGGGGATGCACAGTACCAGGCAACGTTTTAGTCCATGATGTCACCATGAATTGGGGGCCTGCTCGATGGCAGCTAACAACAATGACACACAGAGAGAGGTTGAAGTTTCTCAGATTGAATCCTAGGTGATGGGAGAGGGGAAGGATCGTGCTAAAAGATTCTTCAGTGAGTCTGAATGGGACAGGAGAAACTAAATATATTCAACAATTATGTGTGTGCATGACCTTCAAATTTCAGTCCAAGGAAGACTGCTGGAGATATAAGAACTTCTTGATGCCTTTTTATTTCAAATTAGATTGTGATCCTATAATTCACCTTTGTATCTATGATACAAATTACTGTGCTAAATTTCTATTTAGCCAATTATCAGGGCCTGGAACCCAAAGCACTATTTCAAGTCCATTTCACTACTCCTTTTGGCAGCACTTTCTCTCAGACACCAACCTTGCTCTCACCCAATTGCTTTTTGTTATCTCCTATACCTCAGTGTTATTAGAAGCAAAAGTAGTTAGCTGAGACTTGTAAAGGAACATTCGTTATTGGATTTTTTTTTTTCAATTCTGTGCATGCTTTAACTTGGTGAAATAGGTACTAATTAGGAATTGGATCATTGATTCTTTTGCAGATGGTGAAAAGGCAGATATATCTGCCAACATCTATCCAGACATAAACATCATTACTGGAGCCCTTAAACTGTATTTTCGAGACTTACCCATTCCTGTCATCACATATGATACCTATTCCAAATTCATAGAAGCAGCAAGTAAGTATTGAGAATTAAGTTTTCATTTGGAACAAATTTTTACATAAAATGCTTTGGACCTCAAGAAAATTAAAACTCAGAACTGTTTAAATTATTGTGTGAGCTGCATGCTTTGCCAAGTGAGGATCCAACAGTACAGTTAATAGAAAACCAGGCAGAGTTCACCAGCTAAGTTGAGCCAGTGCCAAGCCAGCTAGACCAGGCTGAAGCTGGGTGCCAGATAGTTCTGCTTTCCCTATCATTCCTTATATGCTGAGAACAGCATAGTTAGAACTCTTCTCTTACATGTTGACAACCTGAATGTGTCTTCAATGAAAAAGCAGATGTTGCTCAATGAGGATTGCACAGATTAACTTTCATCTGTTAGAACCTCATTGCTAATTAATTAAAGTAAGTCACTTTTCAAGTTTTTCCATGGATGCTGTTCAAATTTAATAATATGCCAAGAATATACTGTGTCGAGTCCTATACGAGAACCCAGCACCACTGTCTTCTAGTTTAATCTTCCTATCTAGCCAACCACACAAGTGTTATCATCCCCATTTTACAGAATAGGAAAGCCAAACTTAGGGAGTTGAGCCCACAGTTCCAGAAATGGAGCATCCACATTAGCTTTCCTCAGGCCGTGGTTGTTTAGTCAGTGGCTAGCACTCAACAGAGATCATCTGGGCCCCTGCTGTCAGGAGAGAGGGCCAGAGTGCAGAAAGAGGGCTGTACGTTGACCAGGATTAGGCAAGAGCAAGGAAGGGGAGATTCAGATGCTGAGATATATGACATAGACATCAAACCTACTTTGTTATTGTTAAAAAATAATCTTTAAAGGTTGAAAGGCATATGTACATACTGCTAAGTGTAGTCATGAGATGCTTGATGGGAAGATATAAGCACAGGCTGTGATTAGCATGAGAGGGACTTCCCAGATGAAATGTGGCCCTACTCCTTGGTAAGGGCATTTCTTCCTGGGATGTGATTGGGCTACAGGGAAGGTTCTGGAAGCTAGGTACCCTCCTTCCTAGGAGGAATGGGGGAGGGCTTTCTTTGAGTAGCAGCCAACACCTATCAGAGACCCAAAAGGCAGAAGCATGCATACTTCCTTTCATTGTCCATGTGCCTGGTATCTAACTTCCTAATGTGGGCTGTACATCAGGTTAACCATGCCAATACTTTAGTGAAATGTGACATTCGTGCAGGATGAGTTGGCTGCCTCATCTTCCAGTGCCCTTGCACTGTATCAGATTTTCAGTTATGGAGGACTGCCAGGAAAATAATTATTAGACAACTGCAAGATAACGCTACCAAGTGTGTTAGCGTTTAAATTAAAGTTTGTGTTAATGAAATTTCTGGTCAATCCAGCATTCAGAAAACAGATCAAGCAGATTCCTGCAGGATAAGGGCTATGTCCAACCCCAACCACTTACATAGTGGACATTCAGTGAGTATGTGGTGCTCAGCCTCAAATTCAAAGTTTACACAGGTAAATTGATTAAATGAAATAATACCTGGAATTGCATGAATTTACTACACTTTCTCCTATCGATAGCCAAAGCAAACAACTATATCAAACTTCCTGTTACTTCTCTGAAAACCTTAATTTGATGTCACAAATCAGTGTGATATATGCTGTGTATCATCTTCACAGAAATCCCCAATTCAGATGAGAGGTTGGAAGCGGTACATGAAGTGTTGATGCTACTGCCTCCTGCACACTATGAGACTCTACGATACCTAATGATTCACCTCAAAAAGTAAGTTGCCTGCAAACTCTTATCGCCCCCTAGAGGGGGCAATACATTAGGAACAAGTCAACAGTATTGTGTAAACACTAGGTGTTTATACAATAAACAAAAAAGAGGTTTTTCTTTTTCTGAGGCCCTATCCAGAAACCAAACCCACTACCACTGAGTCAATTGTATAGTGACCTTATAGGACAGAGTGGAACTGCCTCATAAGGTTTCCAAGGCTATAAATCCTTACAGAAGCAGACTGCCTCATCTTTCTCCATAGAGCAGGTGGTGAATTCAAACCACCAACGTTTTAGGTAATAGCCCAATGTTTTAACCACAGAACCACTAGAATTCCCATATGCCCTATAACTCAATAAGATGTGTAAATACATTGTTCAGATTCAGGTTATCAGAGGAGGTACCATTTAGCTCAGGATAGTCCAATGTTGATTAATTTATTAAATTTAAAAGCATAACTAATATTTGAATAAGTAATTTTATTTATAAGGTGCCCTGGTGGCATAAATAGTTCAGCACTCAACTAATCATTTGGTGGTTTGAACCCATCCAGGGGCTCCATAGGAGAAAGACTTGCCAATATATTTCCATAAAGATTATAGCCAAGAAGACTCTAAGGGGCATTTCTGCTGGATAACACAGGGGGTCACTATGAGTCGGAATCAACTTGATGGCACCTAACAACTAATAATAATTTCATTTATTGCATTTAAGAGCACAAGAAATTTTTGGATATATAATAGACTGTATGAGAAGTGGCTTTACTTATTTATAAATTATTTCTTTAGTCATGATCAATATCTAATTGGTAGCATAGTGCCTAAGGCACTTGACTGCTAACCAGAAGGCTGGCGGTTCAAACCCACCAACCACTCCTCGGAAGGCAGTTTGGGCAATCTACTTCCATAGTGATACCTCTTCGGAAACCCAAGGAGAAGTTGCTCTGAGTTGGGTCCGACTCGATGGCACATAACAACAACAAAAACAGAGTTTAGAAGACAAAACATCTCTATCCAAATAAGTGCTAACATCTTCCAGCTGAACCTTAAATGCCGGTAACTTAGTATTTTTATCATGGTGCCTTAGCTAGGCATCTTGCATGGTCAGGTGCAATGCCTAACTTACTAGGAAGATGTGAGCATGTTGATAGTGAAAAAATATCCTTTCCTACCTTCTTCTTAGCTTTGCAGCATGAAAATAATGCAAGCTGAATTGACCTTCCTAAAATAATGCAAAATGGCCAATCCTAATTTGCTATGAGAGAATAGACACAAAGAGGTGGCTTTCTTCACAAAACTGCACATATTTGCATTATAATCTACTCTTCTTTGAGGGAGAACTTACCCTCTTTTAGATCTATCATGAACATTTTTCAACACCTGAATTTCTGAAAACAAAAATTTGGGAGATTGTAACTTTCTTCCACAAGGAAGGTATTAAGTCAACTTTGGAGTTTGAATTTAATTCTTAAGGCTTGGCAGTTCTTATCAGGATGTTGAAATGATGATTTTTCAATTCCAACAATAATTACCACTCCAGACCTCATCCTGTGGGAGCTAGAAATAATGTACAACTGCTTTCCCATTTGGCCACATTCCAGCCACACCCTGTTCCATGATAATGGCCTGGCTATTCCTAAACTCATGGGAGTCCTATCCTACCGTTAACTCTTCTCTCCTGGCAACAGCCCTGACAGCAGACAGGGAACCTGCCCTCAGTATTCCTGCTCTCCAGCATATACACAGACAGGAAGGCAACAGCGAGTGGAGAAAAACAACTTCCATATAAACACCAAAAACTAAACCAGCTGCCATTAAGTCAATTCCAACTCATGGTGACCTCTTGTGTTTCAAAATGCAACTGTTTGCTCCATGGAATATTCAGTGCCTATGATCTTTTGGAAGGAGATCACAAAGCCCTACTTCTGGGGTACCTCTAATGGGATCTGAACTGTCAACCTTTCAGTTCATAACCAAGAACTTAACTGTTTGCACCACCTAGAAATATGTGTACACCTTGGGGCAGATAATTATCTGCTTTGCCCTCAAGCCAAAATTCCTTGAATGATAGTTCCACATTAATTTCATGAGAAGTTTCGAGTTTCTAATTTTGAAGATCGTGTCAATAGTAGGTTGACTTAGTAATTCACTTTCACTGGCTGAAGGCAAAGTCAAGAATCTAAAAGAAAAATAAAAACACAAAAAACAATTCCTACTTTTCTATAATTGTTATTCTTCTATTTTCTCTTACAGCTTCCTAAACCAGAGAAGGTCTTGGGGGCGTACATACATAAAGAGTCCATAGTTTTGTTAACAAGTCTATATAATGTCTGTGTGTGTGTATGTTTGTCTTGCAGGGTGACTATGAATGAAAAGGACAATTTAATGAATGCAGAAAACCTGGGCATCGTATTTGGGCCTACCCTGATGAGGCCCCCAGAGGATAGCACCCTGACCACTCTTCATGACATGCGGTACCAAAAGCTGATTGTGCAGATTTTAATAGAAAACGAAGATGTTTTGTTTTAATTATCCATCGGGGAAATGAGCTGAATGGCCCCAGCCCTGTCTAAGTTGATAAGGCTAAGGGAATAAAAACATCTCTTACGTTTGATTTGTTTTTCAAACAAGTGACAGAATTTCTTGGACCGCAGTGGATTGCCAAGTCGGGTACCGTGTCTCATAGACACATGCCTCCTCCACGTGAGGACAAGGGTGAGGGCAAGGAAAGCCCCCCACCTTGGGTCTTTTGCTGTGCCTCCTATGTATGTCTGTTTTACTGGAAGAGTGACTAATAAATCTTTCTTTAACTTATTTTAAAAAAATGTAAATCTTTAAAATTCAGTCTTATTAGTAATAAAAGGGAACTTAATTCATAGAGGTACTTGATACAGTTATACATTTTCCACTTACAAAAAGAAGACAATTCTATGTTAAATGTTAAATGAAACCTATATTGTAAAATGTATTTTTATTTTCGCTGCAAGAATATTATTTTATTTTAGCAAATAGAACTCAATGCAGTGCATTGATTATTACCCTGTGTACCTTGTCCTGCACTCTTGCTGTGATGCCCTGAAAACGTTTACCACAAATGCAGTATTATCTTGACATACCTCTGTTGTTAGCAGTGCTTTTAAATGCAATTTCACCTGCCACAGACATCCTGGCTTTTGATAAGTTTTTGCTCGTAAGTGCTGGCATTCTCCTGTCATAAAATATATGTTTATAGACAACTTTAGGATGTTCTCACAGATCCACAACTGTTCCTTCCATAAAATTTTTGTGGGTTCCCAAAATATGTTTCAGAATTGGTCATAATCTTACCACATTCTGTGTGTGTGTCCTGGAACACACAGAATATGGTCATTTTGATGGACAATGATTTGGAACACTGGATATAACTGGGCTATGTAAAAAGTTAGAATTTTTCCTCCTTTCGTTTTTTTGGGCAAGCTTTTTGAATTCATCTGTTAAGGGCAAGTCATAGTCTTGCCACATATCTGTATTTATGAAAAGTGAATCTGCAGAATAATTGTTTTGTTGAACATTTTTTTCATGTTTGTTTTGTAAACAAGCCTATTTTTAAAAGCAAGAATTAATAACTTTGATTCTTCTCAAATTTTTGTTTGTCCTTGATAAAAGCAGCTCAAAGTGGATAATAATTTAATAGGTTGTTCCATCCTCTTGATTATATTTATCTTAGCATGAGCTTTTCACACCAAGATTTCTATATTTTGTAACATGGTGAATTACTTAAGATATCAAAAACTGTAAATCTAGATTTTTTTTTTTTTTTTTTTTAAGAAAAAGAAATCCAACTGCAATGTTTTTTCCTCTGATTGTCTGAGATGGTTTGTATGATTACTCACCTCGTCCTGTGTTGGAGTGACCCGAAGAGAATTCTGTGTGTGTTAAGTGGAGCTGAGAGGAGGAGTGCAGTTGTCCTGGAAAACCCCAGGGCTGTAGGATTGACACCATTGGCACCCAAGGGGCAAAATGATTCTATTTGGTCCCTGCTATCATTGTTCCTCCCAATTGTACAGATTGGTTTGTTGTAGCTTATGTACTTCTTGATACTGTCAAAAAAATTATCTGGAAATGGTTTTATTTTGTGAAGTGAACAATACTTTGTAATTTATGATAGTGTAAATGGAAGGAGAAGCATTAAATGTATTCAGTTCTTCTGTCTATTATGTTGGTGTTCGCTCACGAAAGTGGAGTTGGAGGTGGGAGGAATGTGAAGGAGAATCTTCAAAACATTCTTCCCAAGTAGAATTTGAAAACAGAATTTCTGACATTACCCAAACATGATGAGAAAACAGAAGCAACTACTGTGCCACAGCCACACTGCCCATTCCCTCCACCAGCTTCTCTCCTGGAAAGTCCAGGTTTACATTCTTATACCTGGAGCTTCTGTGAGACCTGAGGCTTTTATACCCTCCGTAGTAGAAGCATGGAGTTTGGAGAAAATGAGCCTAGGGGGATGGTAGACAAACAGGAGTTAGGGAACCAGAAAGCCCCAATTTTGAATATCAGCTCTGCCTACTGACAATTACATATGGTACGTGAGGTGAGTTTTGCTTACCTGAAAAACAACAATATTCTGATCGTGACATCGTAGGTCAAATTATGATCCAAAGTAATTAGTAATAGTTATTGTTGCCATGAGTCAGCCTCAACAGCAATGGATTTGTTTTTTGTTTTGTTTTCTTTCTCACTGTTATTTTAAGAGTAATGGCTTAGAAGGGAAAAGGATATAACATGGGTTGGAGATAGAAGAAGCATGAGAAGAGAAGGATTTGTCCCAGGTTAAATTTAAATCCAAGTAATAAGGAGGGATATTATAACAGGGTTCTATCATGGTTAATGAGGGTCACTTGACTCCTTTTCTCAAATGTGATTATAACACTTGATCCCCTCTGCTTTGCTTTAGTCAGAAACCTGCTCACCCACACCTATCTCCCTCACCATCTGGCAGCCTAACATGGCTCCTCTTACCTGGCTTGAAATTCCTGCCTTTGCAATAACCCTAGTACTTAGATGATAAAGGACGCAGTATTGTTTCCACAAAGGGGAAAAAACAAAAAAAATTGTCATCGAGTGATTCTGACTCATGATGACCCCATGTGTGTCACAGTAGAACTGTGCTCCATAGGGTTTTCAATGACTGGTTTTTCAGAAGTAGGTCACCAGGCCTTTCTTCTAAGAAACACACTGTTAAACTGTCCACAAGATAAGACAGGGGCAGGGTGGGTGGGAGGTGAGAAGGCAGTGTGAGGATGGGCGGAGGAAACTCTTTTTTTCCCATTAACATAAATGGGCATTTCATATTAGCTGTTCGGGACAGCTTAGAAAGCATTTGGGAGCCTGGATAGCCAGTGAGAAAGAATTACATATATTTGTGTAGGAGCTCTGGTAGTGTAGTGCCTAAGGCACTTGACTGCTAACCAGGAGGCTGGCGGTTCAAACCCACCAGCCACTCCTCGGAAGGGAGGTTGGGCAATCTACTTTCGGAGTGATACCACCTTGGAAACCCAAGGAGGGGGTCACTATGAGTCAGGTCTGACTCAATGGCACATAACAACAACAAACATTTGTGTAGGAGAGGACCTTGGAGCAGCGCTGGCACAGAATTTCAAGAATAGCAGCCTGGCAGGGCAGAGATGGGGGAAAGATGAGGCCAAGGAAGGGGAGCTGAGGAGAGCAATTGAAGTATTACCTGGGCTGCTGTGACTCCTACTGAAAACTCAACCAGGTTTACTTATAAGTTCCCAAGATCTATCAATCCCCAAACTTTATAGTCAGTCTGTCTATTAACTTAAAAATACAGTATTCATAAAATTTTTAACAATACTTATCAAAACATATTAAACCAAACTCACTGCCATCTAATTGGATTCAACTCATAGCGATCCTTCCTTGGGTTTCCAAGGTGGTATCTCTACAGTAGATTGTCCAACCTTCCTTCCCAGGAGTGGCTGGGGGGTTTGAACCTCCAGCCTTCTGGTTACCAGTCAAATGCCTTAGGCACTATGCCACCAGAGCTCCCAAGCACATATTAATGGGCCAGAAATTGAATATATGGAGGCAAGGAAGTGCTTATCCCACTGGAAAAATTAAATAAGTTTAGTCTGGCTAGAGAGAGGAAGCTGATCTTACTAAGGTTTTGAACTCTAATGTAGGAGAATGGGAGCACTAAAGGATTTTTTTTTTTTTAAATAAAAGTTCTATTTTGGGATAACTTTATATTAACAGAAAAGTTTCATAGATAGACCTGAGAGTTCCATGTACTCCTCACTCTGTTTTCTCCAATGCTGACATCTTATCTAGCCACAGTACATTTGTCCATAGTAAGTGTGGTGGTTATGTTTGTGTGTCAACTTGGCTGGGCCTGGTCGAGTGGCTGGACAGCTGGTGGTAGTTATTCCCCATGGTGAGACTGGCAATCAGCTCCATGGTGGGATCTACCACAAGCAACTGAGTAGCTGCTTTGGGATGTGGTCTGCTTCCTGTATATAAGAAGCAACTTTGGGAATGGTCTCTAGCTTATGACATGCTTGGAACCTGCATGTAGCCGTGTTGTTGTTCAGCAGCCAGCCATGCTCTGCTGACCTGGGGACTTACAATGGGCTTGAATTAATGGCCTGCCATGTGGGTTGGTAACATTGGGACTGTCCTTTTTACTTCTCAACCTTGGGCTTCTCAGCCTCAGCAGCCAGCAGCTGTCTGAGTGAAGTAAAGCCTCTAGCTTCAGTGGGCCAGGAGCTGGAGGAAGAGCTGAAGCCCAAGGTTGAGAGGCTTTCACCCAGCCCCTAGAGCCTGGCACTTTGAACTTGGACTTAAAGTCTCCAAATTGTAAGAGAATAAACTCCTGTTTGTTAAGGCCATCCCACTTGTGGTATATCCTTGTCAGAGCGGCACTAGGTAACCAAAACAGTAAGAAACCAACATTGATGCATTGCTATTAACTAAACTCCAGACTTTATTCAGATTTTACTGGTTTTTCTACAAATGTATTATTTTTGTGTGTGTGTGCTACAGGATCCCATCCAAGATACCACATTGCATTTAGAACTAATGAAGTTTGAGAGATGAATGACACAATCATTTATATTTCTAAAAGATCTCTTACCTGATTGTAGATCCCTCAGGGAATATAATGGTGGCTGGGAGGGAGTAAGAGTAAATGCAGGGAGTCAGTTAGGTGTTTATTGTTGTCATATAGGACTGAGAATATGGCTGCTTTGGTTGGGTGGTAGTAACAAAGAAGTAAATAGAACTGAGATAAAATTGAAAGAAGTAAATAGAACTAAGAAGGTATAATTGAAAGAATTTGGTTATGGATTGGACTAAGGAATCAAGAATGACTCCCATTTTGCTTGATTTGCCAACTGAGTAATATTTACTGAAATGAAGATCATGAAAAGAGGTGTCAGTGGTGGAAGACATATGGAAGATGAAGAATTTCATTTTGGCTATGATGAAATGGAAGAATCCAAACAGAAGGGTTTAATGAACAATTGGATTAATAGAACTAGAATGGAGATATGGATTTGGGAGTGACTCACTGCAGAAAACAGTTGAAACCATGGGATGGAATAAGAGTACTCAGGGACCTCAGACAGAGAATGGAGAGATAGAGATGAGGCCTGATTCAGAGCTCTCTGCAGCACCACCATTTAGGAGAGAGGAACAGAAACAGGAGTGTGCATATGAGGACCATTTTAATATAAGCCAATTTGTAAAGCATGAGTGCAGTTCAGAAATAATCTTCTCCCCATCTTTGGGTTTGTTTCTGATGTCTTAGTACATCAATTTGTTCCACTTATATTTATCATTCCACCTGCGAAGAGGAATTTGCTCAGTTAGATGCTTTGTGATGCAAATGAGTCATAATATCTGTTTTTCTAAGTTGAATTGAAAAGATTTTGTCATACTCAAGGACTCCTTTACTTCCTACTACAATTTATACATACTTCTAATACATCATTATCAGAAAGTATTGCAATTGTTTATATATCTGCCTCCCACTAAAATACAAAGTCCTTGAGATCAAGAACCACGGATACCAAGTG